TTGTAAATACCTTAAGACTTTTTTTATTGCTGCTCCATGTGATTTCTTCGGATCCTGCATATAGCGACTGAGTACTCCAACAGAGTATGCTAAGTCAAGTCGTGTGTGAAGAAGATAACGGAGGCATCCAATATTCTTTCTATATGCTGTAGCATCAATGCTCTCTTCGTCTTCAGATTTTGACAGCTTCAGCCCAGACTCCATCGGTGTATGAACTGAGTTACAGTTTTCCATCCCAGCTTCTTCTAAGATCTTCAATGCATAACATCTTTGGTTTAGTTAGATTTCTCCTTCTAGTTGACATACTTCGATCCCAAGGTAGTATGTTAGCTTTCCAAGATCACTCATGTCAAACTTGGTAGCCATCTCCTACTTGAATCTGTCAATAATCTCTAAACGTGTCCCCGTAACAAACAAGTCATCTACGTAGAATGCTACAAGGAGAAAATTGTGTCTCACCATCTTCCGATACATTGATGGTTCTTTAGAACACTTCTTAAATCCGAGCTCTACAAGGATTTGATTGAGCTTGTTGTTCCAAGCCCTTGGCGCTTGTCTTAAGCCATACAGTGCTTTATTAAGCTTGTATACTTTGTCCTCATGTCCTTTCTCTTCAAACTCCTCGGGTTGTTTGACATAAACCGTTTCCTTCAGTTCTCCATGAAGGAAAGCTGTCTTGACATCAAGATGATGTATTTCCCATCTGTGAGATGCAGCTAGATTGATGAGAAGTCTTATTGTTTCAAGCCTAGCTACTGGGGCAAATACTTCATCGAAGTCGATTCCATATCTCTGAACATATCCCTTTGCCACAAGTCGAGCCTTGTGCTTGTTGATGCTTCTATCCGAGTTACGCTTCAGCTTGAATACCCATTTTAAACCAATTGGTTTTGCTCCTTGCGGAAGATCTACTAAGTTCCACGTTTTATTCTTAACGATGGAGTGAATCTCATCTTCACATGCTAACATCCATTCTTTTGACTCCTTGGCTTCATTGAAATCTCTCGGTTTGTTGTTTATACACAACAGTAGCCTTTCTCGTTCTTCTTCCGCAAAATACAGAACATAATTTTCTCTGAGATATTGCGGTAGCTGTCTCTCTCTTTGTGGATATCCTGTACCTTCTGGAGTTTGTTGATGAGTATCCTGATCGTCTCTATCATCAGCTTCTGCCTCCTCTGCTTCAAATCCATGTGATTCTTCTAAATCACTGTTATTTTCTGCATTATCAACTCTGTTATCTCCATTCTTTTCTATATTCTCACGAGACTGATCGTTGGCTGTTTGTTCCCTCATTTCTTGTATACCACTGTTTCCGAATTTCCCGAGTACTACACTGAAAATTTTGTTATTTTCTCCTTTCGAATGACTCCAGTTCCAGCTCTTAGTTTCATCGAACACAACGTCTCGACTCACCACTATTTTCTTCGTCGTTGGATCTAGCAATCTGTATGCTTTTGAGCCTGGTTCGGTACCTAAGTGGACGAGCATTCTGGATCTGTCATCTAACTTTCTCAGCTGAGGTTTCTCGATCTTTGCATACCTAATACATCCGAAAATCCGAAGATGATCAATGTTTGGTTTCTTTGATCGTAGAACTTCGTATGGAGTTCTATCTTTAAGCGCCCTCGTGGCTATCCTGTTTAAAAGATACTAGGTCACATCAACTTTGATACAATGAAATCAATGATACAAAGTGAACTCATTGATGGGATTACAAGCGTCAACGTTGAAAGGACAATTTGTGGTTCATGTCTGCATGGAAATCAAACTAGGCAAGCGTTTCCTCAAGCCACTAAATACAGAGCAGCTCAAATACTCGAGCTGATACACGGAGACCTTTGTGGTCCCATAACGCCAAGCACACAAGCCAGAAACAGGTACGTCGTGTGTCGAATTCCTTCTCCCCACAAATAGTTTGGTATATTCATTTGTTTCATTATGCTTCTCGCCATCTCCATCATTGTCATGTTGCGTCGTTCAACAACACCATTCTGTTGAGGGCTGTATGGAGCTGTAAGGTATCGTTTGATCCCCGAGTTGTTGCAGAACTCATTAAAATCATGCGAGAGAAACTCTCCTCCCCTGTCTGTTCTGAATGTCTGAATGCTTACTCCTAATTCTTGCTCCACCAATGCCTTGAACTTCTTAAATTTGTTGAATGCATCACTTTTTTCTTTCAACAGAATCGTCCACATATATCTGGAGTGATCATCGATGAGCACAAAAATGTACCTGTTTCCGGCTTGTGTGCTTGGCATTATGGGACCACAAAGGTCTCCGTGTATCAGCTCGAGTATTTGAGCTGCTCTATATTTAGTGGCTTGAGGAAACGCTTGTCTAGTTTGTGTTCCAAGCAGACATGAACCACAAGTTGTCCTTTCAACGTTTATGTTTGTAATCCCATCAACGAGTTCCCTTTGTATCATTGATTTCATTTTATCAAAGTTGATGTGACCTAGTCTCGCATGCCATCTGCTTGACTCGTTTGTCGACGTTAGATGTAGATGAGCTGCATCTTTTATCCTCATGTGGATCTTGTATAGGTGGTTCTTGGATCGATTTTCTTTGACAAGCAATTTTCCCTCGTTCTCGTGCATTGTCAAACATTCTCCTCTCATCCGTATATCGCATCCTGATTATGTAGCCTGACCGAGACTAATGATGTTACTCTTCAGATCTGGAATGAAGTAGACATCAGCCATCATTCTTGATTCTCCATTAATATCAATGAATGATATCACGTCTTTCCCTTTTATGTCTATACGAGAGTCATCACCAAATCTGACTTTTCTTGTAACAATTTTATCTATTTCCGAGAAGTGTCTCGGATCTCCAGTCATATGGTTGCTAGCTCCGTTGTCTAGATACCATACATTATCATTGCTGGTGGCTAGTTCGTACTTGCCAGGAATGCAATTCTTCTCGTTTAGGTATACTATTTCATGGACCATGAGCTCATCTGCATCCTACGTATCCTGATTTTCATCTTCTTCGGCTTACTGCAATTTGAGTAAGCGGTCAGGACAAACAGAAGCATAGTGACCTAACTTGTCGCACCGAAAACATGTCACCTTCGAAGCATCTCTTCTGTTGTTTGATCGTCCGCGACCCCTTCCCCTAGAACGTCCTCCTCCACCCCTTCCTCTGTAATCTCCATAGTTATCCCGATTTGATTGGCTTGAGTGGTTCGCTTGTGTGTCAGAGTTAGCATACATAAGCTTGTTTTGATCATCTTGATTATCGTCTTCTTCGAAGACACGTTCTTCGTAGGCTTTAAGTCGTCCTACAATATCTTCAAAGCTTGTAGTATTAAGGTCTAGTACATGTTCAAGCGAAGCCACTATGTGTATATACCTTTGTCGGGGAAGGCTTTTGAGAAACTTCTTGACTAGCTTTGGTTCTTCAATAGTTTCTCCCAGGGCAGCAGATTTTGACGATATCTCAGATAATATTCCAGCAAAGTCATCAATTTTGTCGGAGTCTTTCATCTTCAGGCGATCAAACTCGGCCATCAACGTTTGTAATCTTGCCTCTTTAACTCTTTCGCCTCCCATGTGTCTTGCTTCCCAGATTTTTTTTGCTGTTTCAAGTTCTCCAACAAGTGTCTTTGGAATCGATTGAAATCAAAGAGCAATCGCCATGTTGTTCTTCTCGGCTTCGGGTGCTTCGACGTTGGATTCTATGACTTCCCATACTTTATGCACCTTAAGCATCACCTTCATCCTCATGGCCCATACCGTGTAATTTGTTGAATTGAGCATGGGGCATGAGATCGATGGAGATCCTCCTCCTTCTTTAGGTCTCGTAACAGCTGCAACAATATCTTCCATATCTTCTCCAAAATTGCACAAAAGTCTGAAGTTCTGATACCAATTATAGAATATAAAAAAGGTGTTTGTATAAGAATTCAAGATCAAAAGAATGTTTCTCTTTATTGCTTTAGAAAACTCACTTAAAAACTAAAGCTCTCTCAAATCCTTAAACTTCTGAGTTATGTCACAGCTCCACATAATCCTATATATAGACTCGCCTAACACTCTTCCTAATCCTAATGTATGTTTAGATAACTCCTAAACATAACCTCAATCCTAAACCACTTAGGAATCTATGACAGCTTAGGATTAGGATGACTTGAGGCTTAAGCTTTCTTCAAGCTTATCCCAATGCTACCATATTCCTTGGATAGAGGGAACGGCAGATGAAATTCAAATGAGAAGTAGTTATGGACAGGTTTCTCGGTTTTTCAAGGTTTGACACTTATGTATTAGGCTAGGCTGATTTGCTGATGCTTGGTTAATAAATTTACTTCTACCGATATATGGATGAAACATTTATTAAATATATATTTCTAGTCGGAACCAGAGAACCCAATTTCAAAATTCTAATGCATTCTCATTCTGATAACTTCCCATATCCGAAACCGAAACGGGTCAGCACCGATAATGAATCTATAGCTATATACGGGTGCCATCCTCACCTCAAACGAATGTGCTTCCCCTCTAACCTATTTTTTTGGCATTACATTCTTTTCTTACAAGACATTATTCCTCTACTATATTTAAATTTGACCATTCTACATTTTTCTTTCTCTCTTGATCGTCTCTCTCCACGGCTTCCTTATCTTCTCCTCTAAAAAGATTTTGTCATATTCCACCTTTACAGGAAAACCGGGAAAATAGTAATAATAATAAACACACAAAAAATTAAAAAAACAAAGAACCCCACTTTATTGAAAGTCTCATGACTGAACCTAATAATATTATTATTATACACTATCATATCCTTTGATCAACACAAAAGTCCCTTTTTCCTTTTTGATTGATTTTTTCTCTTTTTCTTCCTCAATCTTCATGGAAACTCATCAACAGGTGAACAACAGTTCCCAAACTTTTTCTGAAAAGCAAAACCCTAAACAAGAAGCTTCACCAATATCATCCCCTTCTTCTCCTTCTCATGACTTTTCTTTCACCATCTCTCTCCAACCTCTCTCGTCTTCCTCAAAACCCATCAGCCCTACTCTCAGAAACGCCACCAAAACGTCGTCGTCTTATACACAAACCGATCCATTCGCCGTCGACTTGTCTCCTGCCGATGAGATCTTCTTCCACGGCCATCTTCTCCCTCTCCACCTCCTCTCTCACCTCCCTATCTCTCCTCGAACTTCCAACAGTTCGTATAATGACGGATTTGCCCTCCCCGTCAAAGATATATTACCTGACCAGCCCACTACTCTCCCTACCACAAACAACAACAACAACATCAGTACAGAGGCGAAGAACAACACCACTCACGTAAAACCAGAGAGATTCGATGACGAGAGTCGAATTAAAACCAAAGTACCAGTTAAGTCATTCTCTCTCTTTGGTTTGTCGAAATGGAGAAAAGGGTTTGAAGGGAACGAGCGAGAACAACAGCAGCAACAACAAAACCAGCAGCAGAAGAACAAAATTATGAGTTTAGACCTAAGTCACGCAGTCAAGAAGTACATAAGGATGTTGTTTCAGAGGAGAGAAAACGGCACGCAGTTCAGGAACAGAAGACAGACTTCTTCTTATTCCTTCTCTTCCTCTATAATGGGTGCGAAAGGAAATAGCAAGACAATAATTAATGGATCGAGAGATCTGGTGAGAGCGAGAAGAGGTGAGTTATTCTCGGCTCCGGCGTCGATGAGGACATCTCCGACAAATAGTGGCCATCTTCGTGTGTCCCCGGCGGGGCTTTCGTCGAGCTCGGCCTCCACGTCATCATCGTCAAGTGACAGCACCATGGAAGAGTTGCAAGCAGCGATTCAAGCGGCCATTGCTCATTGCAAGAACTCAAGCGCCGTTAATCGTGACGATAAGGTTAAGGATTCTTGATTTGGTTTTTACCTTTTGTCCTTAATATGTTGATGTTTCTTGTCAGAAGGAAACAAATTGTTAGCGTGTGTGACGTGGAATTTAAAATTCACTGTAGAGATCATCATATTATTTTCGTGTATAGAAAAAGGAGTTACTGTTCTGTTCCTATATTATGTGTCTCCATAATTCATTAAAAAACAAAATATCTACTAATAAAAAATATTTATTTTATAGGAAAATGTGACAAGTTTGTTATAATAATAGAAAGATAACTTACAAGTACAGGCTGGGTTTTATTGTTTGTTTCCACAATTTAGGTTTGGAATAAGAGCGAATACTTTATAAATTACTGATATATGATTTGTTTGGTTTTTGACCGATATTTAGTTTTGTAATTTATGTTGCTTCGAAAAGATAATAAATAATAGAATTTTGAATATTTAAAAACAATTAGGAATATATGCTGTATTGAATTTGTTATACTTAATAAAAGAAATTATTTATCTAGGAGAATATATATAAGGTGGGTATGAAGTGAAATCAGCTTGTGTTTTTTATAATTTAAAAAATTCAAAAAATCAAAATCAAAAGAAATCATTTTTTCATATCTAAAAAAACATTTGTAACTAAAATATCTTTCACATAACACTCTGTTATAACTAAGTGTTGTTATTGTCGCTATTATTTACATTTATTTGTTAGTATAGTATTTGATATAATACTTGAAATGAGGTTCAAGTAAAGTCTTTTTGAAACCGTTGCTTAGAAGCTAGAGATGGTTGAATGGCTGTATGGTTGAATAGTCAGTTGTATTTAAACTCCAACCACAAATAGTTTAGATTCTAGTCTTGAAGGGCTAATCCTTACAAGAAGTACTAGTCTCTACACGCCTCACAAATTCTCTAAATCCCTCAAAAGAACATAGCAAAAACGCAGGAACAATGTTGAATGCAAATAACTTTCTTTGAAAACAAACAAACTTTGATTAATAATTTCTTGAATATTCTGAAGTGAAAGTACAATGCTTAGGAGCTTTATATAGAGCTCAAATAATGTAAATAAAACGGTCATATGACTTTAAAACAAAGCAAAGAATTTGGAATTCAGTCTTGGAGTAGTTTCAGTTAACAGTTGGAATTAATGGGGAGATAACTTGATTTGGGGGCTAAAAGCATGGACGAATCTTGTGGTATTCAATGAAATATGGACGTCTAGGATCTTCAATATAGAATGTAGGATCGAGATTAGGTAGATATGATGATATATGGTCAGACTTTCCTTTGAAAGGAAAGTCGTTTTGTTGTTGATTCTTCTTTGACTTGTGATGGAATGGGACGAATGCTGAGTTGATCTGGTGTATTATGACTCTTGTAAACTCATGTGGATATGAGGGAAGGCGAATATAATGTCTTGGTGCCAAACTGTATAGAAATCCTTGAGTATTATCGATATGTGGTTTGTGTATATATACTACATCGTATTATGTATAAGGCTCTATGACTAATATACATTAATATCGACATATATCTAATAAGGAATATGTCCTTATCCGTAACACTCCCCCTCAAGTTGGAGCGTGCAAGTCACAAACGCCCAACTTGCTTGTAAGATACCGGAACTGCTGACGACCGAGAGCTTTTGTGAAGATGTCAGCCGGTTGTTCAGTTGTAGAAACATGAGAGAGCGCAAGGGTACCAGCTGTGACTTCGTCGCGAATGAAATGGCAATCGAATTCTATGTGCTTCGTTCTTTCGTGAAACACTAGATTGGAGGCAATGTGTAAAGCCGATTTGCTATCACACACCAAGTGCATAGGTTGATCATGAGTAATGCCGAGTGAAAGAAGTACCTCCTTCATCCATAACAGTTCTTGACAGGTCATAGCCATAGCGCGATATTCTGCCTCTGCAGAAGAACGAGAAACTCTGCCTTGCTTCTTTGTTTTCCTAGAGACCGGAGAATCGCCAAGCTTCACTAAATATCCAGTTAAAGACCTTCGTGTGATGGGACATGCTGCCCAATCAGAATCACTAAAGGCAGTGAGTTGAAGTGAAGACTTGGATGAGAGCAGAATGCCTTGACCAGGATAGCCTTTCAAATTGCGAACAAGACGGAGAGCAGCAGTCCAATGGTCGCAAAGAGGAACCTGCATGAACTGAGAAAGCATGTTAACAGCGTAAGTGATCTCCGACTTTATGTGGGTGAGATAAACCAAACGCCCAATGAGTCGACGATACTTCTCGGGATCCTGAAACTTGGGACTGGTGGAGGATGCAAGCTTATGATTTTGCTCTAGAGGTGTATCTGCAGGTCGTGTACCGGAGAGACCGCATTCATCAATGATACCGAGACAATACTTTCGCTGAGACAAGTAGATACCTGCAGAGCTACGCGTCACTTCGATTCCCAAAAAATACTTCAAGGGACCAAGATCTTTCATTTTAAAACATTGACTGATATAAACTTTAAACTTCTGAATGACCGAAGCATCATTTCCACAGATGACCAAGTCATCAACATACACTATGATGTGCAGAACCACTGAACTGCGAACGTAGCTGAAGTGAGAGTGGTCTTTCTTGGACTGAACGAATCCGTACTGTAATAGCGAAGTAGACAGCTTTTCAAACCAGCATCGAGGAGCTTGTTTTAAACCGTAGATGGATTTGTGTAGTTTGCATACCAAGGTAGGATCTGCAGTTTTGAAACCAGGCGGAGGTTTCATATAGATATCTTCTTTTAAATCACCGTGTAGGAAAGCATTGTGAACATCCATTTGATGGAGTTCCCAATTCTTTGCTGCAGCGACATCAAGAACAAGGCGGACTGTCTGCATTTTCACCACAGTAGCAAATGTTTCATTGAAGTCGATACCTTCTTTTTGGTGATTTCCCAATGCAACAAGTCTCCCTTTATAACGTTCCACGGTACCATCAGAGTTGTATTTGATGCAGAAGACCCATTTTGATCCGATAGCCTTTGCACCAGGAGGAAGACGAGTAATATCCCATGTTCGTTGATCCTCTAAAGCGTCAACCTCAAATAAAACTGTATTACGCCACACTTCCTCTTTAACGGCTTGCATATACGTTGAAGGAGGGTCAAAGAGACTAATAGCCGCTAAGAACACTTGGTGACTGGTGGAGAATCTGTCACATGAGACAAAGTTATCTATGGGATAGAGACACATACCAGAAGATGTTGGGGTAGATGAAGAGGAGAGAAGAGTGGGGTTTATATCAGCTTGTGCAGAGTAAGTAACGTATGGTTTAAGTTTGACCGATGGCCAGTGCTCTCGTAGTCCGCGACCAAGTTGCTCTTCATCAGAATCAGAAGATGTAGGACCAAGAGGTGCATCATCAGAATCAGAGGATGTAGGTGAATCAGATTCGTAGACGAGAGCCGGAGGCTCGACAGTATTCCCGACGTTAAGATCCTCGATGATAGACTCATGAGTATGTTCTGGAGTATTCTCGATAGGAGTAATGTCAGTACTGCTCCCCCTGTTTTGCAGCGGCGGAGAAACAGGGTTGATGTCATCGTCCACAAAGCGGGGTGACGAGACAGAACTAGGAATTGCAGAAGCTGGTGATACTGATTGTGGTAAAGATGAGAACGGGAATTCATTCTCATTGAAAACGATGTCACGAGAGACAAAAAATTCTTTAGACAAGAGATCGAAGACTTTCCATCCTTTCTGTCCGTGAGGGTAACCCATAAACACACATCGACGGCTGCGCTCCTGAAACATGTCTTTGTTAGCTGAGTGTTTCTTAGCAAAGCATAAACAACCAAAGACCCGAAGACAGTCAAAGAGAGGTGGCTTCATGTGAAGAATGCCGTAAGGTGTCTTGCCTTCAAGTAGTGGTGTAGGAGTACGATTTATAAGATAAGCAGCTGTGAGAACACTTTCATCCCAAAATTGTATTGGAAAATCAGCTTGAAACATAAGTGTCCGAGCCATGTTGAGTATATGCATGTGTTTACGTTCGACTCGCCCATTCTGTTGCGGAGTATAGACGCAGGATGTTTGATGGAGTATGCCTTTGCTTGCAAAGAATGTACGTAAGCCCATGAATTCACTTCCATTGTCGCTGCAGACAATTTTGACAGGTTTATGAAATTGTCGTTTCGCCATAGCAATAAAGTTCGGTAGAACAGTGGATACTTCACTTTTAGGAAGCAGTTGATGTGTCCAAACAGCTCGTGAATGATCGTCTACGATGGTGAGAAAGTAGTGAGCTCCACATGAGGAAGCTAGTTTGTACGGATCCCAGATATCGCAATGAATAAGTGTAAAACAATCCTCTGCTTTATTAGAACTTTCGGAGAAAACACTCTTTGTTTGTTTGCCATGAATGCAAATATCACAAAAATCCTTTAGGTCACTACTCGTACTACTACTAAAATCGCCTAAGTTTGTAAAAAAACTTGATAGAACTTTCTTAGAAGGATGGCCCAGTCGTAGATGCCATAATGCTTGCTCCTCGTAAGTGATAAACCTCATTCTCCTCTTCACATGCTCCAATCAGCATCTTCGAAGTGCGTTTCTGTATCAAGCAGAACTTGTCAGTAAACATGGCAAAGCAATGCAGTTCTCGCAAGAGACGGACTAAGGAGATGAGGGTGCAGTTGAGATCTGGGACAAAAAGAACTCTTGAGAGTCTCATAGTATCACCAAGTATCAGTTTGCCTTCTTTAGTAGCATATGTATGTTTTCCGTTAGGAAGAACTACAATACTGGTAGGAATATCTCGAATGTCACTAAGTAAATCAAGATAGCCAGTCATGTGATGGGAGGCTCCAGAATCTAGTAGGGAATCGATATTACCAGAGAGTTTGTCGTTAGGTGATGCAGTGTCATGTTTCAGAAGATTCACAATCGCATTCCACGCCTCTTTGCTT